ATGAAAATTACAGGCCTCTCTCATCTTTTTAAGTGGGAGAACTTGCACAATTGGTGGCTGACTAAATACTTAGACTATAATTTCTACTGATAGTGATTTGGTTGCTTAATTAAATGGTCACAAATGCACTGAAAAAAATCAAGAAAAACCTTTCCAGAGGTAGAATCCTCACGAAAGCTGAGTTGAGGCTTCAAGACTGCAAGAAACTGGAGGATTATTTTAACCAAAACCAAAAGTTAAAAAATACAATCTTCATCTCTAAATCCCTCAGAATGAAGAAGGGAGGAAACAGGAAGCCACTTATTTCCTGATAAAATATTCAAGGCTGTACCTAGGACCTCTGATCTTTGTGGATCATTGGACACCTGTGAAATTTTGTTGTGGTGACTCTCAGAAAATAGCTGCCATAAAGCCCAACCATTCATAAATCAGTCATTCTCTGGGTCTAACTGGGGACAATGTTTTCTGCTATGACCTGTTTCCCAGGTTGCTCTCTACCACCCACAATATATTTTTATGCTCCAGAGTTTAAACTATGATGTTCCTCCACATTAATAGATATTTAGTAGTTTTTCCTGTATGGGGGCAATGCAGCCGCAAACAGAAGAGCGAGATGAACATTTCCCTCTAGCTCTGGAAATTCATTTAAAACTGGAACTGGCCAGATGGACAGACGGGAGAACAGACAGATGGACAGACCGATAAACCGATGGCAGATGGATGGATGGAAAGATAGATGTACAGATGGATGGGTAGACGGCTGGAAGATGGACAGTTGGATGGAGAGACAGACAAACTGATGGATGGACAAGGACAGACAGATGGACAGATGGATGGGCAGAAAGATGGATGGACAGACAAATGGATGGACAGATGGACAGATGTATGGGCAGATGGATGGATGGTTGGACAGGTGGATGAACAGATGGATGGGCAGATGGATAGGCAGACAAACTGACACTTGGATGCAGGGATGGGCAGATCAATGGATGGACGGACAAACTGACAAACATTCTCATCCAGATGAAGCAATCCTTACAACCAATGCCTGGCTCTATTGCAGAAGCTTTGCTTATGACCCCTCTGTATGTGGGAAGATATTTTGGGATGGGGAGACTGAGCTTAGCAAAGGACTTGAATCGATGCCACCTTCCCTGCAATGAATTCACTTCTTTTCTTTGTATTAAATCAAATATGAACACGTTGTGCAACAGCAGTCCAAGTCTTGGTTTCAGTACATTTCGAGGACTGCCCAAAGATGTCATCTATATGTGATGAAAATATGGTAGGGGATAGCAGAAGATAGGCATGCAGAGGTCAGCAGATGTGCACTGTTTGAGGCCTGACCCTGAGAAATGTTCCGGTGGAGGCTGTTTGAGTTCCGAGCAGATCCTGTGTTGCTCTGTGCTCCACCATGGACTGCAGGCCTACCTCTGCCTGTCTTTTCCATAGCAGACAGTGGCAGGGCCCATTAATTTTTAATTTAGCCCTCTCCACACTGCACTGCCAATGTGTTTTATGGGCCCATTATGCCGAAATGAAGGCTTGTAAAACCGAGAATTTTCAGGTTCAAAAAGGGAGGACAGGAGGAGGGCGGGCAGGAGAGAACACTCATTACACCTAATAAGAATGGCAAATTGGGAATGAACACAAATTTATAGCCAAGCCCAATATTTATTAGTATTTATTAGTATTATTATTTATTGTGCCAAAATTTGTAATTTGGCTCAAAGTTAGGAAATAAAAGTTAGGCTCACATTTTGTTTTAAAAAAAGAAAAACTCAAAAGTTTCTTATCCAAAGATACCGTGAATGGGTGGTCAGGGAGTTGTAGAAATTCGCCCATCTGTCCATATTAAGGATTCTTTCTTTCTTCCTTTGGCTGGCCTTCTCCTGCCTTGCCCCCAACCCTTTTTCCATAGGTAACTGTGTTCCCATTCTGTCAGTCACGCTCAGCGCAGGCTGAAAATGTCTCTGTGTTTGTTTCTTCTGGCTTCTTCCATGCAAAGGAGGCAAGAGCATTCTTACCCAGCAGTGCTGACTGAGGAGGGTGTAGGATCTCCCACCTCACCACTACATTTCCGGGGCATGAAAGAAAATAGAAGAAGGACAAACACCGTCACTGCTCTGAGTGGAATTGTTTGATTGGAATATTTCAGGATACCAGTTGGTGCTGTAATGCCATGGTTGGTGTGCTATGAAACTTTCTGTGCCACCTGCTACTCTGAACGCTCCTCATACCATAGAAGCATTTTATGACCTACATATCATGGGAGGGAATCTGGGGGGCTTTGTTTTCTCAGAAACGGTATGACTGAATCTATCCTGTTTGTAGAAGGATAGAAAATCTTTGGCCTTAGATGTGGCTTAACCACAACTCCCAGCACCAACATGCCATTGGCCACACTGTCAAGGGCTTTGAGGAGTCGTTCAGCAACATTTGGGTTCCTCATCTGGGCTCTTTTGCCTTACTGTGCAGGCTTATAAAAGATACTCTGCAGAAATCCCACTGAAGTAGGAAAAAACCCCTTGCTCTCAGATAGGTGAGGATCGTTTACAACCTCTATAACTTTATTCTATTCTGCGAAGTTTCCCAGTACTGTTTTATGATGCCAGTAGATGGGTTTTTGTCTGTTCACAACAAGTAATGCATCTTAGAATTTTAAAAGGTTGATACTTGCAATTGGATGTGAAATATAATTTCCATTGCTAATTAGGCAAAATATAACATTTCATTTTGCAAACTGTGTAAGACAAGATTTGCCATAATCCGCATACCCAGTGACAGTGCTACTTATTTTCAGTTTATAGGGCACTACAAAGCTCAGCTTGATCCTCTGGGGATTTATGCCGTTTCTTTTGATGCTTCAGTGAATGATCAGTGTAATTCCACAAATTTCGGTGAGCTCCTCCTTTGACTTACTTTGTTAGCATGATCCTTGTTCTTTTCTTTGCCTTTCCTACTTCCCTTCTTTCCCACTCTAACCTATTCAGATCCGTGGACACCATGTGGCTCAGTTGGATCCCTTAGGAATCCTGGATGCCGACTTGGATTCATTCATTCCATCGGATTTAATCACTACTATAGATAAACTGGGTGAGAATTTTAAACTTGTTTGTAATAAATTAATATCCATAGTCAGAGGAATGTCTCAGGAAAAAATGCAGCTAGCAGATTAGTTAAGCATTGCAACATGGAATATTCTTTCCTATTGGAATATAGTAGGCAAATCTTGTTTAGTGAGATCGTCCTCTAATTATGCATATTAGTTTATCATGAATAGATTAGTATTTCTTTTTTATATGTATGTGGATTTGTGTGTGTGTGTGTATGTATATGTATGTATATATATGTGTGCGTGTACACGCACACACACCCAGATACATTGTATACTTAACTGAAGGAGGAGATCTCTGTGTGAAAGAGAGGTTTGTGTGTGTGTGTGTGTGTGTATGTGTGTAGGCCTGAACAGAGGAGTTTTTAAGTAGCAAGAATTGGGTGAATTTTAAGAAATGTTCAGAAGTCAGTTCCATCTTCCAAAAGGTAACCAAGAAATTAAAATGAAACCAAATAGGAAATACTGGGAAAGAAAATAGCAGTTCAATAGGGCATTAAATTGCATCATAATACTTTGAAAAAATGTGGTTTTTTTCATGGTTGCAGATATCTCCAAGCAAGTATCAAATGTGTGTTCACTCTACATTTATGTTTGAGCAATATAATGGTGGCATTCACACATCACATTAGCCACTGTATATGTCAACCATGTCTTAAGGCATAGCTTGCTCAAATCTAGTCACTTACGGTTCTCTCAGTAAATCATGGGTTAAACAGTCACTCAGTGTGTTGTGTGAATCCAGCCAATATGTAACACTTCTGTATCAAAACAAAAGGATAATTCTTTGTAGAGAAGGTTTGAAAGGGAACAAGGTAAGCACATATCAGGTAGAGCTGGGGATGTAGAGTCCATGTTTGATTTTGGCTTGCTGTCTTCCTGTCTCTTTGCTAACGATGTTCATGTCACAGAGTTTTATGGCTTATATGAATCTGACTTGGACAAAGTGTTCCGGTTGCCTACAACCACCTTCATAGGGGGAAATGAGACTATGCTTTCTTTACGGGAGATCATCAGGCGACTTGAGGTCAGTGTGGTTATATATCTTACGTTGCTTCTTGCTCTGAAATGGGACTTGGGTGATTTTCAGTCTACAGTCTTCATTTTCTGGTGAGGAGTAAAATCTGATGACACTAAAATTGATGTATCATTTATTTGCTACAATTTTATTTATTTTTATACCAGTTCAGGGATTCTCAGCCACTATGTAGATCTCAGAAAGAATCCCAATAAGGATGTTGTCTACCATAATTGTCTCCTGTAGATGGCCAGTATTTCCCTAGAAGAAAGACTAGACAGTGAGATAGTCCATCTGACCCAGGACCATCAGTAGACCTTTAATCTAGTTCTGCAAGCAAGAGGGTGTCCTCCTGCAATTTTTTGAAAACCCTGTACTGAAGATAACTGAATTGGATATGGAATTTCATTTACAAAATGTATAGCTCATCTTTGCATTATGATTCCTCTGAATGGTCCTCTTTAAAAACATTCACTTCTTTGGAAAAAAAATCTAGAAGCATTTAATTGATTTCTCCTCAAAGAACAGAATGTTCTTCAAATGATAGTTGGTTTAGTAATCACTGGTAGGTAAGGGGCTCCCAAGATGGTCTGGACTTTTACATTGTGGTGCCTTCCAATTTATACCCCATAATTCCATATCATATTTGACAGAATTTCTTAAACACTAATAAGAATGTTGTAAAACTATTGTTCAAAATCAATTTTAAGGGGTATTCTGTTTGCATGTATATGTTCCCTGTAGTCTTGAGTTCGAATCTGTGTGTCTAGAGCTTGTTTTCTGGTATTATACATTTTTAAATAATTTGAGAGCAACCATCCAAAGTTGAGGGAAGGAATATGATACTCCACAGCCCACTCCTGGCTAACATTTGAGTAAGGTTATATCTGCGTTGAAGGTTTGAAGGAGTTAACAGGATGGGCAGGGAGAAACACAACCTTTTATGTAAGACGAAGCAGTAGTAGACTGTAAACTAAACTTTATTGACATGCCTGTCATATCACCTTTTTAATGTATACATATGTTACCTTACTGTCCAGAATACCTATTGTCAACACATAGGGCTGGAGTTTATGTTTATTAATGATGTGGAACAGTGTGACTGGATCCGGCAGAAGTTTGAGACTCCAGGCGTCATGAAATTTAACAATGAAGAAAAACGGACATTGTTGGCCAGACTGGTACGATCAACAAGGTATATTTGGAAGGAGTGATAAGTGTGATGCTGAGATCTGTCTCAGCAAAACATGCCTCAAATGTCATCAAAGCTGTCTTAGCTGTTTAATAAACGGTTAGGTTTATTTTCCCTAAGTTCTTAGGACAGATTGGGCCAAAGAGGGGAAGAAACAATAAAAACGTAGTCAGGTTCTTTTGGCCCTCATCACACTTAATGAACATACCCATTAATGCTAGTCTTCTCTAGAACGTTTAAATATTAATTTCACATTGTTACTCAAATATAACATTTGCCTTCCCTGGGAGTATTTATTCAGTGAGACAGCCGTAGATCACTGTTGCCCAAGTTTAATTAAAAGAAAAATGAATTTCAGCCAGATGCTTTTAATAATTGGGTTAACATGGCATTTGAGTGACAGGCTGTTAACAGTGTGTCATACAGAAGTTTTGCTCATTTATCTTCCTGGAAGGGGGGGAAAAGCCTTCAGCCATACAATTTCTGCTGGTTGTGCTGATTAACACGAGAAGGATCTGCTTAACAAAATAGGAAGAAGTTTCTTAGTATCTAGTTTATATGCAAGAAATGTCAAGAAGAGGAACTGAACTGAAGCATACCCCTTAATAATGGATATATGGGGGGTGCAGGGGGAACAGTGGATATTTGCTACAGAAAAGGCTTGTAAATAAATCTAGAGAGAACACAGCCTGAATGCATTATTTGGCATGCATGAGCTCACGAGGAGGGGGGACATCCTCAGGGGAGGTAAAAATGGGGGTGGAGCTTAGAAATTGCAATTAACATCTTGACTATTTTGATCCCCGCCCCCCCCCATGCAGATGGCCCTGCTTTTTTACATGCTGTCCTCATCTAATCACTGAGATTTATGTGTCAATAAAACATATTTATTACCCTGTGTATGCCCTAGCATAGCAAGAAGCTAGATTCCAAAAATAGTGACCAACCCGTTGATTCAATTGCTGGATATTTGAAGTGCTGGATGGAATACAAGTAAAGAGACCACCCTACCCACTCTCAGGCAGTATGTTGCTGCTTCAAATAAAGTAAAAAATTAAAAAAAAAAAACCTGTCTCTCCAGCTCAGTTTCAGATTCAACAAATAAGT